CACCTGAGTTAGTGAAAGGACCGCCATCCCGCAAAGGCCGTCAAGGTTTCAGGTCACTCGTGAAATAATCACCAATGGTAGTAATGGAATTCGCTGGCAGCTGCAAAGAAAATCCCGAAATTTCACCATAAGGCCGATCACCGTTGAAAGGACCAAAAGGCTGGGAATTGGGTTAGCTTCTATATTGGTATCGAGGTCATAACTGAATACGATACTTGGAACGGGTCGATCACCAATATTCCACCTATACCATCCGTTGTATCGATGAGGACTGCCAATCCCTCTATTAATTGAGTCCGTGTCCTAGTGTATACGCAGAGCTACAGTCAAGTCCACTACCCAAGCTAGGAACATTCTCGCATCCAAATATGCTAGGCTCAATGCGAACCAAGTACAACTTAATGTTCTTGACATCGTTGTGTTTTGGTCGTGTGATTATAGTCCTCCCAGTGAAGGTATGTCTGCCTTGTCTGTCTCCCATAAAGGTCACCAGTCATTGCGTTTCCTCATCGAATACAACATCCCGAAGGTCATGGTTTTTGTAACTTTCTCTCCTTGTTCTTCTGATGAGGTATATTTTACCAAGTGTCTCTGAGTCGTCTTCGATTGTGTGCGTAAAATCATGCTCTTTGGAAAGATAGATGACATATTTTTTGTTTCCGCCATCATTTTTCACCACACCACTTTTGTCTTCCCCCATCACAATCTCGTCATCTATATAATGGAGGCCCTTAAAATTAAACGCAATCAACTTAGTTACTACTTATCGCTTAATGGATAAGTATCTTTTGTTAATGAATAATTCTAGCAAATAAATGCGATCTATGTGTATTTCGTTTTAGATTTGTATGCTTTTTAGCCCATAGCAGGGCAAGATGGCTATTCCTGACCAAATAAATATATGTTGAAACGTCTCTCTAAAGCCAATTCACGTGATCTTATCAGGAGCACACTTTTGTAGTTTCACGTTTTTCGTTATCAGCAATTAACCAAATATAAGGGAAAGAGACAAAGGGGGAGACGAAGAGATGAGCAAGAAAGAGAGAGGAAGAGAGAAAGAGAAGAAGACATGTATACTAGCCTCTCCATTTTCTTTCGTTATTATCATCCTTAACTAACAGCGCAAATGCTCCACACAAGCACAGACTGATGCTTTACACAATATTTGCACAATGGTTATGATGGAGAAGTAAATTAAGACAAATAGACTTGATTTCAAACATTTTAAAAAATCACCTTTATCTGACTGATGGTTTAAAAAGACATATTCCTTTTCCTATGCTCGATCATGCTTAGCTTGACGACTTGTGGAAAATCCGTAAGGCTACTGGCGTTAACGATTGAGGAGATATCTTATTCTTGGAAAAAAAATGTTTATACAAACTACAGTGATTTTTACGGATTTTGGCCACTGTCGTATCAGAACGTGTTCTGATATCTATTTCGAATATTCACCTTTTGAAACAACTGATATAAATATTTTTAAATAATAAATTAAATAGTATAATGCATGGGAGCTTGGAGAAAAATGTTATCTTCTCGCATTTAATCTCTATGCGAAGGTAAATTTCCGCGCGCCCATGTATAACTTTCCTTTTAATTAACAATGCTTCTAGGCCGCCAGAATGAAGAGACAGCCTGGTGCATGCTTTGGGTTGATTCTATCACTTTGCCTCGTAAGTGCGCTAAAGTCGCACCAGAGAGGTTGTTTAGCCGCTAAGGTCACCGCGTAAAAGTGAAAAAATATTGATTGCTGCTGGTGCGGGATGTTTTAAAATTCTCTTATCATGTATACAAAAGCTAGAACAATGTAATGGCGTTTGTTGAATTCTTTACAACACCCGTCAAGGGCTAATACAAACTCCAGCAAAACGACGATGAAAGGTAGACCATGTGAAACAAATAAACAACAACGCACCAAAACACTCATGAGTTAGATATATCAAGCTAAATAAAATAAGGTCAATACATACCGTGGAATACATTAACGCCTTGTACGTGGCCAATTTTTTATTCTCTTTCTGGTGAACTTCTGATTCTTCATTCTCAAGTATAGCTCGGTGGCTAGGACCTGCCCAGTGTTTCGCATATTGAACTTTATCGCAACGAAAACCTAAGACGTGCCATCAGGATGTCCAGTTGCTGGGTTCATTCCTTGAAATGACAAGCTATTGATTCACTTGCCGAGTACTCCCCAAAGGCAGTTTTCGTGGTAAGCCCAGCCATTGCGGGGCAGTCCAGTAACTTGTAGCAAGTAGTCCCCAACATCAGTGAACACTCGGAATCTGTGATCTGACTCCGCGAGGCCAGTCATTTCTCCAATCACAACATTATCTGGATTTACCTCTTCTTCATCGTTTTCTACTCGAGTGTCAATTTCAACTCCCCTGATCCAAAGTAGTTCCGCGACCATGGCCGTATTAGCTACGACCGTCACTCCCTTTCCGTCGGGTTTGGTTCTCTTCCCGTAGAAATCGTAACCAAGTGGCACCCTACCTTCTTGTTTGACAATGAGATTTTGGTATCTTGATTTGTCGAAAATCTGGTTCTTTCCCATTGTCAGATAGTAATTCTCATTACCAGGACTGACTGCAACATCGAATTTGAATCTTTTTCAACACTCGATTGTTTATATATAGGTTGGTATGAGTCTCCACTCATCCCCAGAATTTCGCCTAGTTCTTACTCTTGAAACGAGTGAAATGTCCGCCATTTTTGGTTTTCACAACCAAAACAACTCAACCTCGTCCCCAGGTCTTCTCCGTTAACGGTGCATTAACCTGCAAGAACGCTGCATTTTTGACATCATTTCCTCGTTAACACAAAATTCTTCTAAATTTGGTCATCAGTAACTGGTTATGGTGAATTATGCGTGTGCTTTTAGCCAATCAGAATCGGGGAAATGTTTTGAATGAATAATAAGACCTATTATCTGTCTATGGACGCGAATAATCCAACGGATAACCCGTCTCAGACGGAAAATAATTTGAATACGGCCATTAAAAATTTTAACAGTGAAACTTCACAAAATACCTTCAAATTTTATTTTCCTCCTCGAAATAAACTTTACTATAAAAATTTGTTGACACTCGTCAAACGACTCTCGGTTTGATTTGACCATATAATGATGTCATTAATATGATGCTTTGATAATTTTCGATGAAGCAAATATCTAATAACAGAAAGCTTAAAAAAAGAAGAAAAATTTATTATCCTGTTCCACCTTGACAGTCCCAGGTTACTCGCAACAAGTACCTCTTGAAAATCTACGACCTCATAACTGTTGTGATCCTTTGGCTTTTGTATACAATGATCTTATTTTCTTTACAGACAAAATAATATTGATCAAAACTGATAATACTAAATAGTCATTATGGAAAAGACTGAAAAGTTGTCAAATCATCGACATATACATGGCAATCCTAGACGATTTGAAGAAAAGAAAGCGATCGATTAAGAGAAAATGAACAAATTAATTTGTAAGGAAGGCATATACAAAGGATATCAACATTAACTCAGAGGGGCATTGAACGCTACCGGGTGTTAGCTGCTATATATTTAATCAGCTAAGAAGATAATTTGAAAATTTCTAAGGAGTATCTGTGGCGAAGTCTCTGCTCTCCCTCCTACTTTATTAGTGTGTGATAACAGCCCCAAACTCTCTCCTGAATACTAAGTTCTGGTTTTCTGATTTTCCTTGTCTCTAGTAACAGTCCCTGAAGGCATTGCAAAAGGCAGCTCGGTCCAGTCTCCTCGTTTTTAAAGAGGCGAATTGAAAACAATGCCTAAGCAAAATGTTTGGCAGGAAAGAAAGTTATATTAGTATGTGTAATGAAATGGTGACGGGTGAGATTAGGGAATAATTTCACGCGCGTTTTGTCCAAATCCTTATAATTTATTAATTACTAGCATCTGGACAAAACGCAAGTGAAATTATTCCCTAATTTCACGAGTATACCATTTGATTACCTATTAATATCATAGGTGACGAATTACGTTAGCAATCCTGGATTTTTGACATGTTTATCCTGGATCGTATCAATCGAGAATTCCACTCTCTCGAACGTTTAGAGCTTAAATTTGGCTTAAGTTCAGAATTTTTCGACAGAATACCTGTTAGAATCCTTCTTGATGTGCTCTTTCGTGTGTTCAGGTTTTCTAAAGCGTCTTTTTATGCCCTTGCATCTAGTTCATTCATGACATTTTAAAACTTCGTCGCCATCTTGACACTGAGACGTACGGAAGGTTGCCATGGCAATTTTGTAATTTTGTGAAGTTACAAATTATCGCTGAAATTTCGCGCCAAAATTAAGGAGTAATTCGTCACTTATGATATTATATGGGACAAGTGCAACTGGTGAATTTGGGGAAATTGCCACTTTAGAGACGAAAATGTAAAGGAGCCAAAATAGGCCCCGCAATTCTTTCTGGGATCGTTACTGTTGACGTATCGTTCAGCCATTTTAACATTTCCCAGAAGACTTTGTGAAAGATAACTCAATCCAGTTTATCTTCTTTGTTTCCAAATGAATTTGAATATGTTCGACAAAATCAGGAAAAAATTCATTATAATTAAAACAAACAGTCATGACAATCCATTATGATTACAACATAGTTTAATTCACTCTTTAAAAATGCTGATTTATTGTTAGAGTTATGTGTTTGTCAATTTAGTGATTAATTTTATTTCAAAGGATATTCGGCTTCATTGGACTTTAAACTGAATAGACAATAACTTTGTCTGATAAATTGTAATTAATTGCACTCTTATCAGTTGATGTTGCACATTTCAAGAAACTTAGTTATTGACCTTAATAATGTTAAAAAACGTGTCATTAATTTTCATTGACAGTGCGTAAATCTTACAGTTAGCACAATTAACTATATCATTATTAAGTTTCTTAATGACGTTTGGTCATTTTTAATACTTTGAATGCTTTATTGAATTTTTAATCGCGAAATCATCCTTAATTTCTTTCACATGACAAATGCACCTTAATTTATCTGCACGTATTAGCTTCATTAATGATATCATTCTGGAGTTCATCCATTTTTTTCTGCCATACTTTTTTAAGATTAAACCTTTTCTTTTCTCCATTCACAAGATTATAAAGATTGCTTCTCACCAAACCCTCCTGATAAGCGAGGATATTTGCTCCCTCAACTGTAGCTCGGTGAATCCTTTGCTTTCCCTTTTTGACTGTTATCTTCCAGCGGTTTTCCCCCCTTTCTGATGGTTTGACGATTATGCGCATGTCATTTTCCTCTCTCGAAAGGTGAGCCCAAAGAGCATCACCAACAATCAACGTATTCTCTGCGTAGTCACCTGTGTAAGTTTTTGCCTCACCAAACTTTATTTTCCATTTTGTTTCTGTCGGAGTTTTTGAAGGTACTCCAAGGACGAGCTGTTTAGGGTTCGAACTTACATTAACATAGTTCTTGGTAAATTTGTACTCGTCAGGTGGCCTGAAAGCAAGAGCTACGTATTCACTTCCTATGTTTACCACTGGCCTGTCATCATGCTTTAGATCCAAAAGAAGCTGATAATTTCCTGTTGTTCCGAACACAATCCGTTTAGCTTGTGGAACTTCGATGCCTAGTGAATACCGCCATTTTTTCCCTTTATACAGTTTGTAGACGAGAGTCTTTGCCACTTTTTTGTAGAGAAGAACATAATGCGGTTTGTCCTGTTTAAGCAAGTCTATATACTGATCAGCGATGGTAATGAAGGAATTTTCAGGTAAATCCATAGAATATAACGTCATGTTTAAACCGTCTCTGGGACCAAGATCTTCTTCTCTATGCAAAAAACTTATAATGAAGTCACCACAAAGACCAGGAATGGGTTCAGCTTTTAATGCAGTGGTGTCTAAATTATATTGAAATGGGACACTAGGGACAGGTCGGTCACCATATGGTTTGCCAAGCTTTCTCTTAATGGAGTTTAATGTATAGTCCCTAATGCATTCAAGTCCTTCACTTTCCAGGCTGGGAACCTGGTCGCATCCAAAATATTTTGTTTTTCGTTCAACCAAATACAGCTTCATCTCGCCTATATTTCCTGGTTTTGTACGTTTCAATATGATCCTTCCAGTGTTCGTGTGTTGTTCTCCCTTCCTGTCTCTCAGGAAGGTCACCAATGTTTGTGTTTCCTCATCGTATGCTACTTCGCTTTTGTAATAACGTTCAAAGTTGGCATACCCACGATTAATCCTTTTTACGAGGTATATTTGCCCAAGCGTTGGGGAATCATCGATAATAGTGTGAGTAAAGTTGCGTTCATCGGATAGATAGATGATATATTTGTTGTTTCCGCCGTCGTTATTTACTACACAGTTTTTGTCTTCTCCCATCACAATTACGTCATCGAATGGAGTCCCTGGAAATTGTGTTAGAAAAACTGACATTTAACTGATAAAATCAAAAATTCGGTTCATCAACTGACTTGATAACTAAAAGTAGAATGGTCACTGTAGCGGGATAGAGCGATTTTTGTATGACTTTGAAAAATGGTTTCGGTAAGTGTTCGTCGTTTGTTTTATTAGCCAATGGATCAAAACGTGGACTCTTCGTATTCCCGCCAAAGAAAACCCTACTGCAACATTGTGTTGCAGTATGACGTCAAGCGAAGTATCGATTGATTTCAAGAAAATTCTCGGGCATGGAGTTTTTCCACCCGAGCCTTTGCTCAACCAATAAAAAGCCACGCGCGTTTGTATCTGTTCGATAAACCAATTAAATCGCTCTATTTCCGTTCGTTTGTCGTCTATGTTTTGTTCGCGCGTTTTCATTTCAAGGTCATACGAAAATCACTCAAACAAAGCCGACGTTTCAAATTAAGCTTCAACCATCGGAAAGATAAACGACTTAGCGCTCGAGATATCAACTTCTCTATACCTCTACAGAGGCAAACCTCTTTAACATCAGGAGTAAGATAAAACCTAGAATTTATGCACTTTACTACCCCCAACACAACACCACTGTAACTGTTTCTTTACTAAAAAATAAACCCACTTTCTACCTCATGAGATCAGTCGAATTGTAAAACTTTCAGTTATGGCAAATGTTGTCGAACATTTCGCGAAGATTCCCAATGGCGACCAATTTGTGTTAGTGCCATGCTAACAGTTGGTTTACCTCTTTCTTTCTCTTTCATTCAATAGTCGAATCATTTGAGTCTCATTACATATCAGAGGAAATCGATGAAAACGTGAAGATCGTTTATTTAGAGTGTCTGATTTTAACTTGGCCAACAACTAGGAACAAATCCTACTCTGACTTATAGCGAGGGTCTGTTCCAATGAAGTCAACTTCGGGACAAAAATTTCATTTCGACGCGCCACCCGGTCAACCCGTCGTGTCATCTTGTCATCTCGCCGATGCTTCATCTCAACTCGTCATTGCATCTGGTCATCTCGTCGTGTCGTAGTGTCAACTGGTCGTCTCGTTCTGATGTCTCGTGTTTTGGTCGTTTTAACTTGCGTGCATTGACTCATTTGTTCTTCAACTCGTCATGTCGACCGTCAATTGGTCGTGTCACCCATATGGCAGCCATGTTGCTTAATGGTTATAGTATCCAGGTCCCCTCTTTAAAAACGCCAGAGAAAAACGCGACGAGTTGATGGGCGACACGACCAGTTGACGGTCGAAACGACGAGATGACAGTAGACACGACGAGTTGAAGAACAAACGGGTCAATGGACGCTAGTAAAAACGAGATAACAAACCGAGACGATGAGTTGACACTAAGACACGCCGAGATGACTAGATGAAATGACGAGTTGACACGCCGCCTTGCCGGGATAACTAGAGCACCCGACCGAACGACTGGGTGGCGCGTCGAGATGAATTTTTTGTTGAGACGTTTACGTCATACTTTGGACTCAACTGCAAAATATGTTTAAGCCATACTGCCAGTATTCATTTGAAATTCTTTAGACAGTGCGCCGATTAGAGCGTCATGGTTAATCAACAGCTTGCATCAAAAAGCTTGTCATGAAACCAATTACCTTAATCATTATTGTAACGTCAAATTACTTTATTATTCTCAGTAAGAAAATATAACACAAGGTCGATTAGCTAAGTTCGATCTGATACATACCGTGAAATACATTCACACCAAATATGTTGCCGATATGCTTTTCCTTTACTGGAGAATATTCTGATTCTGAGTCCTTCATTCTCAAATGGAGTTGAGTGTCATTGTCGATTATACGTTCTCTCATATCGAATTTCACACCGACGAAAATTTTTGGTGGACCCGTAGAATACCCAGGGTTGGCCACGGGGGTAAACGTAAAGATTTTGGGGTTCATGCCTTGAAATGACAATGTATTGATTCCTTCACCAAGTGTTCCTGAAAAACAGTTCCAACCAGAACATGGTATTCCAGTAACCTGGACCAAGTCATCACCAGCACCAGTATAAAACTTATTGTAACCAGCCCAAGCAAGGCCTGCGTATTCACCAAACACAACGTTATCAGGGTTCTTCTGTTCTTCGTCGTTTTCTACCTCAGTGTCGATTCTAACTCCCCTGATGCTAAACTGCTCAGCAACCATGGCCGTGTTAGCAACAACGGTCACTTCCTTTCCTTCGGGATTAGTGACGTTTCCATAATAGTCGTAACCGAGTTCCACTATACCTTCGGGCTGGAAGAAGAAATTGCTGCCGTAGTTTGACTTGTCAAACATACGTTTCTTTCCCATTGTAAGGTACCCATTCTCTTTACCGGGCTTCATTGAAGCATTGAATACGAGATCTGTAATATCTTCAAACCCCCAAATACGTTCAGACTGATCGTTGCGCATTGCTACTATTAAATTTCCTTGATTAACTTCGTAAATGGTGTCAAATCCAGTGTTTTGATTAAATATGGGAGAGACTTGCTGGTTTATGTTAACTTGGTTTTGCAGATACTTTAAGGAACCTTCAGTTTCTGAATTGCATCAAGGTGTTCGCCTATGGTGACATGCGGATTTGCAGAATTGATCAGGTCAATAATAATTGGCGCAAGTGAAAGCACGCATCCTATAATTGCACCAACAGGACCTGCCACTGCAGCCAGAGTACTTCCAGCAGTTGCCAATGCCCCCACAACGAACGCTGTCACTCCAACAGCCCCGCTAGCAACTCCCAGTGATGCACTTGCAATATTCAAAGACCTGACTTCAGGTGGAGAATCTTTGTCATGGATTGCATTATGCAGTTGCCAGCCACAAAATGCTACATTGGCGGCATCAAAGAATGGACCACTTATGGTGTCAAACCAGGTCAAACCCTTCGCCCACTTTTTGGCATTATTTAGACTTTTCACGAGATCATCATACCCTTGGGTGTTTTTCAGAAATGTGGTAACTTCATTGTCAAAAACATTTGCAATTTTCTTCCTCAGTGCCTTGGAGCTATCAATGATATCATCTACGTCATCTGCACTACCACCGACCACAGCTTCTGTTACTACTTTGTTGTACTCCTTGAATCCAGCGACTGTCTGACGGAATCCTTTGTGTTTTACCAACTGATAAATCAGTTCAGATGCAATGGGGGACACTGTTGCTTGTGTTGTATCGAAAACTGTAAGGGTTGCCATAGCGATATGGAGTGTTTCCATTGCTGCTTCTTGCTCTCCTTGCTCCATTTGGGATATCGCAGCAATTATACCAGATCTCCACCAGATACCCGTACCACCTACATACACTGATGTCAAGGATGATCCTGTGGCTAACATTCTAGTTGAATCAGCTCGTTTAAGGAAGTTATTCCCAATCTTTTTAAGCGCACCTGCTCTATATCCACTGATTCTCCGTCCATCTACGTCTAGCAAGTAGAAAAGGGACAGAGCAAAGCAGAGGACCAGGAAGCGCAGTGTTGCCATTTCTAAAATGATAGGAAGTTTGTTAGTTTGACAATACATTCCTGTACAATCTTTGTTTGCAAAAAAAGAGCAATTAATGTGAGTTCCCTGAACCTTTGTCTCCTAACACTCAGGCCCGTAAGGTGAAATCTCTCTTTTATGCAAGGTGATTACTGCCTGTTAAAGCTGGTAGTGACGATGTTTTATGAAATATTGACCAGTAAATGGTAAATGGTAAGTCACGCTATTTGCTTCAGTTTTGCAAAGTTAAAAATGTTTTTACATCAATTGATGCAAAAACAACAGATCCAGTTTGTTGATTCTAAACGGCTACATTTTGGCATGGCGATTGTTCCCTATCGTCTGTTGCTAAGGATGTCAAGTATTGGCCTGGATTGAAACTTGAAACGTCTGGCCAACATGTTCACATTTTACTGGGATGTGGACAAAAATCAGCAACAAATATGGTTAGTGTTCCCAGATGAAGTTTATTAGATATCATTTTCATGACTCTACAGGAGTATAAGTAAAGGTTCTTACACTGTAGAGAAATGAGTTTGGAACAGAATTGACCTAAACCAGTAATAGCGGAGGTGCGCCTTTAAGATCGGGAACTAAAAAGGAGGACCCACTTGTGGGCATAACAGACACACACACTACTGATGCAAACGGGTAAGGCCGTCGTACTGTTTGCCCTTAGAATTGCTCATTATCTCAAAGATTAAAAAAGAAAAAAATATATCTAACTGACAATTCAATGTGTGTTCGGCCACGGGTTCACTGCTGGATATACACTAAACTGAAAAGAATTAACTTGTCATTTATCCGACTAAATAATCCTGAAGTGTATACTTTGTTAATTTACAATTGACGAAAACGATCATTAATTGGGCTATAAATTAGTCTCTTTTCTTACCCACAGCTTCAATCGCTGTTGTGCTCTCGATGCCCCCTGAAGGAAAGAGAGCAGAATAAGTACTAGTCCGAAATAATCGTTCAGCAATGTGAATTATATTCTTTACTATGACCTCTTAATGAATGATATACTCTGTAAAAACGTAACGTTATGACCACATAATGACTTAATAATGATTACCTCATGATATAATAATCTTGGCAAAGGGAAGGCAATGACAAGGAAAATATCTTACAAGGCAATTTATCGTTTACTTTTACTAAAAACAAACTGTCATCAGACGTGCTTTCCTAAAGAGCATTTCAAATCTTTATTTATTCACATCTTTCTGACTTGTGCAACGCACATCTTGCGAATCACTTGCAACTGGAAAGTTGACATTTTTGTTTATCCATGCATTCGTTCATTGACCTGCATTGAGCAGGTTTTACTCCGAAACAATTAAACAAAACATCGTTTGTTTACGACCTGCATATGTAACTTTTTGTAACCAGTTTGCATTATTATGGCTTTCAGGTACAATCTGAATTTTCTGACGATGTTTTTAGCATCCGTCAAAAAGCAAGCTATCTTGCTAGAAAGTTGTTGTCAATTTGACAAGAAGGCAACACAGCGTGTGACACAAAAATGGTGAAATAAATCACGTACCAGCTAGTAGGTAGATGCATAATGTCTCCTCCCCCATAAAATTTTTGACCCAGAAACGGAAATTCTCACTTTGTGAAGGGGGAACCAAGGGTCTTAACTGGAGTCGTTTTTATTTGTTTCCTTTATAGAGCGTGAAATTGTACTGTAGACCCAGCCAATCATAATTCCTTATTCTGCAAGGGAGAATCTTGCAAAACATCAATGACGTTGTTCATTAGGTTATTAAACAGAGGATTATAGGCCCTGTGCTTTTACATGCCGGTTTAGGGCTAAGCAGCAGGGCTCATAGGTCTTATGAGAACTATAAACCCCATTCCACCCAACGTACCTCTTAATACAGTTTAAATATGGGCGCTCCCCGAGTCCAGACGTAACTTTAGCTGAAAATTCATGGAAAAGAAAAACTTTTATGACAACATCAATTTGATTTGGGTTTAGAAAAAGACGTTGCAAAGTACCATTTGTGGGGTAGAGAGATATCAGGCTCTTTGCTTCCAATCGCTTTGTCTCATAAACGTTTCCTGGGGTAACAATAGACACTTGACAATGTGTTTGTGCACACTAGTTAGTACATTAAAACGTTTTACACTATGAAATCGTTAACAAAAGGATTACACCTAATTTCATCTCGTTAACTACACTTAAAGTAACAGAAGATATTAAAAATAGTGCTTGACCCTGTAGGAGACTTACATTGTGGAAGTTTCGGATCTTATAATTAAGAGAGGAAGGACGTTTTTGCACCATATCATCTAAGCAATTCAGATCACTCTATTAGCCTAAAAAAGAGACCTCTTGCCATGCTAAAAAGGTAACAAGGTGGCATACCTGAAAGGCATAATATTGAACGCCTTTTATTTGCTTTGTTATCTTGTTTCACTCGAACCTAGTGTCAATTCCTTGCCTTTACTCTTTTAGCTTTCTTACGTATACAATTTCCACTTTTCTAAATATTCAAAGTATTAGCCCTAAGCCATTTAATAAAGTTCTTATGAAAAAAAATAAAAAAATAAAAAACAGGCGCCGGGTGTATTACCAACCTTGTTTTCCGTTAGTCTCGCTACTCAGTTTCCTTACTGATATACAACAAACAGTGGATAGTACGCGTTGTATTCGTGTGGAACAAAGCCACCAGTGGCGAAACGTAAATGTGCTGTCATGAAACTGAATGGAAAACTGTGTGACCTGAGTTATGTTGAATATGACACCAGGAGTTTTACCAACACGAATGATTCTTGTCTTCATAGGCCATATTCCTTATTCCAAAAGATTTTGGCCAACAATGAGAGAGCAATTACAAGTAACATTTAAAAAGCTCGAGACAGACAATCATGTTTTTTGATCCTCTTGTCTTCTTAGATTAAAAGTAAGTGTCGTGATATATACAGCCTACGATCACTATGTATCACCAATTTACAAAATAGACGCGAGTTTCAAGAGTTAGGCTACATTTTTTACAATTCTTAGTGTTTGAAGAAGGCCACGTCGGCGCAGAATTGGTCCAGCTTTCATTTGAATGAACACACTAGAGGAAAGTTAGAACCACTTTTATGTAAGACTACACCATTTTCTCTGGATGTGAAAGGACTAAGGGAGCTATGGACTGCATTAATTACTGTGGCACACTTATACGCGAGAAAAATCAATTTCTTTGTTCGTGGCCCCTTACGCTTATAACAAATCCTACTTAATATAGGCCTTGTTTTAAACCGTGAAATAGTTTGAAACTAACGACAAGCTGCGGACTCCATGGGGAGTTGACCTGCTTTCAGCGAACGAGGCGTCGTAGTAAGCCATAAAAAGATTTTAACAATTGACAATGTCATCCCATAATCCATTTTTTTCATCGTTATTGTATTGTAACTGTCGCTAATATCATCATTGAGACTCTTGTAATAATTTGCATTTTCTTTGATCATTATTGGATTATTGGTCAATAAAGAGATTGTGGAATAGGCCATTGATGTCATCAGGTCATGGGCTTTAAAAGGCCAATCGAAGCCTTGCAAACCTTTCAAAAAGTTGGAACAGATATTGATTTGCTCTACTTTGTTATTTAACAGGTATAGTAAGAAATAACCCTAGGGCGATAACGACTCCAGCTATTAAGGTATGAACAGAAACTAATTTCAATTTTATTCATATATTGATTTTAATTACTTTCACTTTTAGTGACTGATCGGAAATACATGTGATAAAATTCATCAGTACGATAAATTTCTGGCAAGAAGATGTTCATCATTGATTGACCTGTGGGACAAAAATAATGAAGTATTCGAATAGCTGGGTAAAGGAAAGCATTTCAATGGATATCTATAATACTCTTATCCGAAATCCTCCTTGATGGTCAAATGGAAATAAGTACTTGATAAACAATAAAAAGGGACGTTAGACTAGGATCGCAGTTTTCCAGTGATTGGAATTGTGTTTTCAGAGGCCACAGGCGGGAGTTTTCTTAAAGGCACAATATGTCATTGTTCATTTTTACCCAGAATGTGAATTTCTGATCGATATACAGTGTTGAAGTGTTTAATAGAACTCTATTGTGCTATCAAGTAATATATTAATGTTAAAACTGTATCAAAGCTACACCCTCTCATCTAAGGCAAAGTTTTAAAGTCTCTAAATTACAGCGTTAAATAGTTTTGTTACCCAAAATAACAACGACGAACTAATGTCAACAAATTACTTACACGGATCAGGCAATTTAGAAGTCTTTGAGGTAGAGATCGCAGGTAGACAACACTGTTAAATATGTAGAACCAAGTTTAAAAAAAATCAAATTAACTGTCTTGTCGCGTCGTATTGCTAGGGATGCGTCGAAAAATGAAGCTGTTCCCTTAAAATTCAGATGGGTTTAGAGTGGCGTTTTACTAAAAAAGAAGGGGCCATAAAAATAATAGTAAGGACAATACAGTACGTTTTGCCCAAGCTTCTATAGTCAAACTCTGGATTCCCTGGTGAGTCCACAAAATTAACCTGTTGTCATAGAAGAAGGTTAAAAACATATGAAAAAATTCGTCCTTGACGTTATAACTATTAAGAATGTTGGAGAGGTGACAAAAGTGTAGTGTATTTTCCAAAAACGAGATAGGACTTTTTTGATAGCCTTTTCCGGCATTCCTATGACGAGGAAGTACAACAATCTAGGAGGCTTAATCGAGTTGACAAAATAAGGTAATATATAATAATTGTAACATGGATTTGCATGAAATCCTAAAACCGAGAGCCTGTGCCTCACTGGGGTGGATTGCAATAAAGGTCTACTGTCGTTAGGCTTGGCTTTTTGGGAGTATTTTTTCGACTTATCCCAGGGCTTGAAAATGTCTTTTCGCCATGTAAATCCGGATTCCGGAATCTGGGACATATTTGCTCTTGGAATGTCTGGAATCTGGAAAAATCATGGAATTCGAACCCCTAAGGTTTGAAGGCTGGGATAAGGCTGAAGGAATCCAGAATCCCATTAAAGATTGGAATCCGGAATCCGAGTTCCACTGAAAAAGAATCTGAAATCTAGTAGCAGGAATCCTGAATCTATGGCGTGGAATCCAGTATCCAAAACTGTCTTTGTTTCCCTTACATAGGGTGATTTCTTTTGTAAGTGTGTCTAATCAATGCTTTACAAGTCTGTACTGATATTAACAACATTTCGAAGCAAAGATGAGCGCCAGATAAAAGTATTTCGTATCTGTTTCCGATATGATCAGATATTTACAAGACATGTTTGTCGCGAAATTTAGCAAATGAATAGGCTACCAACTGAATATAAGAAAAACAAAACGAATCGCCCAAGAAGAGTAAGGGTGTTGGGCAACGTTAAAGAAGGGGAACAAAGATTGGCGCGGTTGTGGTAAGATCGATCGTTTCCTTCCCAAGTGGTGAGAGTTCTGAAGGCATAGATCGACGCCATGTGTGGGTTGAGGTTGTTGTTAGTTATCTACCTTGCTCTGAGAGGTTTTTCTCCTGGTTTTCCGAAAACATATATTTCCAAATTCCCGTTCGATCTCAAGTGATCTCTCAGTTAGTTGGAGACACCTAGCGGTTCACAGGTTTTTTTAGTTCCAAAAAAAGAAAGTGTTTTCTGTGTTTGCGGCTAGTGTATTCTTCTCCGACTGCTAAAAAAAATGTGTCATTGGCTCGGGAAAGGGACACTGTCAAAAATACTCCCCTTGAGAATCGAAATCCGTACACGTGGAAATAATTACTTGGAATGCCCTAAAATTCGAAAAAAGAATTGAAATGTGTTATTAGTATTGACAAAAATTACACCACTGACAAAGTTTCCATCATTTTGCAGGCTCTTATGGCAATGTTGAGGATCTTGGTTCCTTTCTCAGTGTTTTTCCTCTTCTGGTTGCTAGCGGCGAATGGGCGCCTACGTTGGCCTAGGTTGGCTCGAGGTTTCAAAAGGCTTCAGTATAACATGTTTAAAAGGGCTGATCCGATACGAATGTTGGAAACGTCTTCATCACTGACGTCAATGTATGTGGGTGGCACTGGCATCTGGTGGAGATCTGGTATAATTGCCTCAATATCCCAAATGGAGCAAGGAGAGCAGGAAGCGGCTATGGAAACCCTAAACATCGCTATCACAACCCTAGCTGTCTTCGATACAACGCAAGCTACTGTATCTCCCATTGCTTCTGAACTGATTAATCAGTTAGTAAAACACAAAGGAAAATTCCCTCAGACAATTAGTGAATTGAAAAAGTATAACGAAGCACTGACTAAGCGTGTGGTCAGTGCTAATGCAGATGATGTCGATGACATTATTGACAACGCCAAAACCTTGAAGAAACGCATAGGAGAATTTTTTGATAGTGAAGTTACAGCATTCATGAAGAATACCCAAGGGTATGATGATCTCGTGACCAGTCTAAAAAATGCCAAGAAGTGGGCGAGGGGTTTGACCTGGTTTGACACCATAAGTGGGCCATTCTTTGACGCCGCCAATGTAGCATTTTGTGGATGGCAGTTGTATAATGCAATCCATGATGAAAATTCTTCACCTGAGGAGAGGTCTTTGAATATTGCAAGTGCATCACTCGGAGTTGCCAGCGGAGCAGTTGGAGTGACAGCGTTCGTTGTAGGAGCTTTAGCAACAGCTGGAAGTACCCTGGCTGCTGTAGCAGGTCCTATAGGTGCTATTATAGGGTGCGTGCTTTCGCTTGCGTCAATAATCATCGATTTAATTAATTCTGAAAATCCGTATGGCACCATTAAGAATCATCTCGAGACAATACAGAAGCTGAAAGACGGTTCTTTGAAGTATCTTCAAAATCAAGTTAACATAACTCACCAAGTCACTCCCATGTTCAAATATAACACTGGCTTTGACACCATTTACGAAATCAACCAGGGAAATTTAATACAAGGCATGCGTGGAGAGTCAGTTGAACATATATCAGGTGTTGATGATGATCCAAATATCATCTTTGACGGAAAAATAAGTCCAGGTCGAGAGAATGGCTATCTGACAAAGGGAAAGAAAAGGATTTTTGACAAGTCAAAATATCCTCAAAACTTATTTTTCCGACCACAAGGTCTAGTACCGCTGGGATATGACTTCTATGGAAACGTAACAAAACCCAATAGAAAAGGAGTGACGGTCGTGGCTAACACGGCCATGGTCGCCGAGCATTTTTGGATCAGAGGAGTTCATATTGACACTCAAGTAGAAAACGACGAGGAAACAAAATACCCAGTTAATGTTGTGATTGGGGAAATGACAGGCCTGGCAAAGTCAACTCATTCAATCCGAGTGAAAACTGGTGCTGGCGACGACTTGCTACAGGTTACTGGACCGATTTGCAATATTTGGACCGCCAATCGGAATTGCTTTGCGGGTGAACTTGGTACAGGAATCAATACATTGTCTTTTCAAGGCATGAACCCAGATAGAGTAGAGTTTCCAACTATTGAGGGTACAACCCCCAAGATTTTCGCTGGTGTGAAGTACGACATGAGGGAAAGAAGAACCCCGTGTCCAGAACCGGGTTCCACTAACATTTACTTGAGATTAAAGGAATCAAAGCAAAGTGAAGGAGTAGCAGAATACAAAGTCGGTTTTGTGAAAGGTGTGAGTGTATTTCATGGTAGGTATTCAACATGCATGTGCGCATTTACAGATATGGTGTGAATTTAATTCATGATTACCATTTTCAAAATAATTTGAGATGCTACATTAGATGGTGTCTGCTCTGAGTTGTGTTGAAGGAATGAAAAATATTCGTTACTTTATTTACTTGCGGGGAAATCATCAAATATAGATTAAGTAAAAAACGTCCGTAATGGTAGAATATGGAAAGAATTCCGGCTACAATGCAGGATTATGTAAGGAAAACAGCATTTAATATGCTAGGAGAAGGTTGTGATTGGCTTCAAACTTTCTGCTCCTAGTCGAGGAAACAACAAGTCATGTGAGCTCAGAATATCCAATCGTTTATGACTGTACAACTTCTCGGAGCATGCAGCTAGTGAGTCAGTGATTGACACTTACCTTGCACTCACTGATAGAGAAAAATCTTTCCTCAGTTTCTATTTTAATGTCTATCAATCATTCAGCTCTATGCAATTACCTACTGTCTTCCAATACTGTTTTTGACATGTACCTGTTTTCAAATTTGCTACGAGTACATTAACGCTCTTTCTGGTTTGACATCGTATAAACACTCTTCTTTGGAATTGTCGAAACCACGCCCAGACAGGTCTCATTATATAGGGACTAAATATAACAGATACATATATCCAGGACAACTAGAATGCAAATTAAATGAATACAAGGCAAGTCAGTCTCTTTTTTTCCTCTGAGACATCGAATCAGCTGCGATACAGAAACATTGAAATTGCCTGCTCAATCATGGTGAGAACATCTACCATAAAAGGGAATTAAGCTTTTTGAACTTAATTTTCTTTAAATTAAAGATTTAGCCGGAGTAATCAATCAATTAAAATGGGTATCAATGAAAATCGGTATCAATCAAGTGTTTTTTCATTGACTGGTAACGAAAATCGGTGAAAAATCGGCTAAATTGCTGTGTCAAATCGATATTATCGATTTTTCATGATTTTAACGATTTATAGCGGAGGTCCGCCATTGTTGTTTTTTGGGATAAGTTAAATAGTACAGCCGGCTGAGAATGCACATCCACGAGTAACAACTGATCAACAAACATGAAAATGAGAAATGTGGGAACTATCACACACATAAGTTTCTCTCTAAAATTCTTTATTTTGTACATAATAGAGAGGAGAACTTGCTAAGTCATGTTGCCATGGTAGCAAAATTTTTGGATGTCAAAAAAAGTGGATCCGCACTGTTTCAAACTTCATCGATCTTGTTTACTTTCATTAAATTTGTCAAATGTTGGCGAAATTTTCTGGGTTAAATCCGAAAGGAACGTATGTAAGTTTAGAAAAAGAAAAACAAAATTTTTGTGTTGTGGTCACCTACTCCATAAAGCGGGCGCGTGAAATTAGGAAGTTTCATGTCGCGGTCGTGCAACAACGGCTAAGAAATGTACAAAAAAGGGTGATGCAGGTGCAAAGATGTTTTTTTGCCAATGTAAACCTATTGTTTTTTTTGCTGTTCGCCGTCGCCGTTGCAAAAACTCCTTATTGTTGTCATCCAGAAATTTTGCTACCATGGTAACGTGACGTCACACTTCTCCTCTCTATGACAGAAATGGTTCCGTTTTTACATTCAGCTCCCAGGGCACGTATCACGGGAAGTACAACCTTAGATAAAGATTTTCTAATTCCTTGCCTGAATTTAAGACTTCCTCCTGAGTCGAAATTCAGGCTAAACGATTTACTTAGATAGATTTTCCCCATTTTCTGTTATTAACCGATATAAAGAGTGTGTCCATGAGAGAACCAGGCAGGGTGTGATTATGCTTAAATCACGGATTTGCGGGATGTAACTACACCCAGAACTACACCAACAATATTTTAAGAGGGTGGCACATCTAAATTGTGAAAACTGGGCGCCCAAAAATTTTGCCAAAATTCGCAACCAGAAAAGGAATTCAAAACTGTTGTAATAGAAAAGATAAGATATTTTCAAATGATTTTTAAAAAAGAGTAATAATTGTTTGGTCCTTCGACTCTCAATTGCAACTCAATGGTCAACAAATTTACCGGTTTGCATGTATTCAGTTTTTCCAATACAAATCGATGAAATAATCTGTAAAGGGACCAGATAAATCGATCAACGAAACAAGTGTGTCATTGAATTCTCCCGATCGATAAAATCGATATCAATCAAATCAGATTTAACGATTTTTTTATCGATTTATTTATCGATTGATAAATGGATGCCGATTTTTACCGATTGACTACTCCGGGAAGACTAACTGCCTCAATATAAACTTTACATGCAATGGCGTTTGCCAACGGTTTTGCTCTTGGAAATTTAGGCCCAATCAGTTGCTTGAGATCTCTGACAAATCAAATGGAGGACTCGCTTGCAGGATACTGATTCGAAACCCAACCGTTTTTATTCCAGCACTGCTATACCTTTCACTGATCACAAAGCTAGTCTAAACAATTCTCATACGTTTATTGCCTTTCCTTTCAAGGGTCTCCATTCGATGATGAGATTTGGATAGGAGAAAGCAAAAACTGCGTGGTTAAAAACGATGGAGGAAATAACAATTATGTCATCTATCTTTCCGACGAGCGCGACTTTACTCACACGATCATTGAAGATTCAGAAACGCTTGGCCAAATATATCTCGTGAGGAAGCGATATTATGGAGGAGGACAGTATGAACAGCATAAAAACGACGATATTGGATTCGATGAAGAAACTAAAACAATAGTGACCTTCATGAGAGACAGTCGAGGGAAGCATAAGTTCACGGGACGAATCATAATCAGACGTTCAAAACCAGGAAATGTTGCTGAAATGAAGCTATACCTGGTTGAACCCAAATCCTTAATTAAAGTGCAGATTAGATGCAAGCTCAGAAGCTTAGATATCGAAGAACTTGGATGCTCCTCTGAGCGCAGTCTTCAACATTACAAACAAGCTTTTGGCTCGAATATAAACGATCGACCTGTTCCAAGTGTCCCATTCCATTATAGATTTAATACCAATGTAGAAGCTGATCCAATTCCTGGGCTTTGGGGGATTTTATCATCTCTCTCGGTGACTTTTTGCCTGCCGCTGTCCAAAAATTCTCGCTGCTACTACCAGAGAATTCCTTTATTGCCCTTGATGATGAACTCATGGATGAGATCGGCGACTGGGAGGCACAACGTGTCCTCTTTTATCTGAAGTCAAAAAAGAAGCTCGTATTCGAACAACGTCTTGGTAGTTTAACAAAGGCGTCGCGTTCAGTAGAAGTTGATGTTCCACAAGCAAAACGTTTTGTGTTCGGGACGTTTGGAAATTATCAGCTTCTTTTAGATCTTAAGCATGATGATAGGCAAGCAGTAAATTTAGGCAGTGAATATTTAGGTTTAGTTTCCAGGCCAGCTGATAAATACAAATTTACGGAGCACTACGTTGACAAAAGCCCGAAGCCTAAACAGCTTGTCCTTGGCGTCCCTTCAAAAAAGCCCACAGAAACAAAATGGAACATAAAGTTCGGTGGAGCAAAAACGTATGCAGAGGTAGCACTGGAAGAGACCCCCCGGAACAAGGGTACAACAACAGGAGCTTATGCTGAAAATACATTGATTGTGAGTGACACCCTTTGGTTCCACCTTTCTAGAGAGCAAAATGACATGAGCATAATATTTTATCCATCTGTTGAAGGGAAAAACAGCTGGGATATTATCGTGAAGAAAGGGAAGGAAACAATCCACCAAGCACGAGTTGAGGGAGCAAATATGCTGGCTTATCATGAGGGATTAGTAAGAAGTAACCTCTACGATCTGGGAAATGGAGAAAAGAGATCTTTTAATCTTTATAAAGTGGGGAGGAAAAAAATGGAAAAAATCCAGAGAGACATCATTGCTGAAGCTAAAATGTGCGGATAAAAAAATCATCGTAAGTCCTAAATAAACGCTGGTTATGCATTTGATTGACTGTTAAGTTATGTTCTTTAACTGTATAAAATTGACCGATAAGTAATAGACAATCCAACTATGCTTTCCTAATAATTATGTTAATTTAATTCTAATGTATACTTTGTGGATACACGGAATTATGATTTATGAAGCTAATAACTAGATAGTGCAGAAATGTGAAGAGGAATGCAGGAAGATAGTATGATGAAAAGTAAATATACCGTGTTAAATCTGCAAAACACTCTGTTGAATGAAAGAAGAAAAAAAAAGCATGGCAAAAATACTGTGCAAATTTCAATGTGAATAAAGAAGTATCCCAAAATATTGCCCATTCAGAGTATGTCCTTATATAGGCCATGAGTATATACACACTCATGTTTGTTAAGCTATGTTATCGGTTCGCTGTCACGGACAATTCAGCAATATCCACCCTCTAGCGAGTGGATAATGCGTGAGCTCGATGTTCTTTTTTTTCATTTTTTTTTCTTAAGATTTAGAAAATTGGAGATAATCCTGTACCAAACCAACAGTATTTTAAAACTGTTTTGGAAGTAGTTTAAACGCTATTTAAACGATTTAATAACCATTAAATAAACTCAGACGCGAGAATTCTATTCGACCCAGTTCAAACGTCAAAGTATAACAGCCATTTTCCATTTGCTGAGAAACGTTTATTCGACTAGTTCCAGTCCCCCACATGGGGTACGCCTGGCGTTTACAAACATCAAACCAGTTCAGGTTGATCGGAGATTTAATTGTATTTGACTTCTATTTGAATTATATTTATATAATTTTCGCAGATGTCTTTGTCTTTGAAACATATTGCTATCAAACTACTATTTAAACATAACACCTTTAACTGTATTTTCTGAAATAGAGGGCTGAGGAATGGCTCAAACTTTTTTTTTCAAATCCCATATTTAACCTGTATTTCAAAAGAAGAACATACAACCAGAGATTTAAAAAGCAGTTATTACACGTTAAGTACAAAAACAGTCTCTCTGTAGTCTTCTTCGCATCCGCTTGGTCCAGAGTCACACAACGCATCCAGTCAGCTCTTTAGTAGTCGGTTGTCACGATGTAACATCCACCTAGGGGAGGTTTTGTGTCTAGCGGTTTTCGTGAAAGCAAGGGTTTGTGGGCGTTGCTCAGTCTCGCGAGCTCACAAAACCTCCCTTCGGTCGTTCTTTCTTTTTTTTTGTATTTCCTCTTTTGTACAAGTTATCAGTCTGAACACAGCCGTCTTTAGTGTCGTCACGCAACGCTCCTTCCCACAAACGGCTTACATACATGTACATTCATCAACCTTCCTCACTAGTAGAGAGTACATTTAAGCTTTTATTATTGGATATTTAATTACAGTAAACTTTCTTGCGTTGATCTGTCTTGAAATTTAAGATATCCAAGTTGAACGACCAACCTACAAAAAACTACATGAAAGAATGAACGCGTGTGTAAACTTTATTGTCACGCATAAAGTTTGAGAGTAACTTTAGCATTATTCTATCACGCGATAAGTATCATCGATAGAAAATTTAGGAGGGGTTTAATAAGCGAATGGATCGACGGATTTTGAAAATATTTTTGCCCGGATTTCGGATTCAAAGCGAGATTTCAACGGATTTCCCCATCCTGCAATTGCAGCGGGTTGCGGATTCATCCACTTTTTGGGCCCGGATTTTGGACCTTGCATGTAATAAAAATATTTTACCCGGATTTCGGCAAAATTTTCACGGCGGATTTGGTTTATAAATTTTAACGGATCATCAAAATTGCATACCTCTATTAACCCCCGCACTCTTCCCCACCTCCCCCAACCCCCTATTGAGAGTCGGTTTGAAATCAGGAAATAAGTTAGAAATAATGAAAATAATTTTCTGTGCCATAGTATAGATAGCTTCAGGTATTTTTGGATGGGGCCCAGCAGTTTTGGCTGCAATGACAATGTTCATTGTTGGTGCCGTCTTGCACAGCTTTCCAAGGCGATTGCCTTTCCAGTTCCACGAGTTGTACCGGTTTGAAGTCAAAGATTTAAGACTGACATGAAAAGTCCATTCCATGTTTCTTTCGGTGTTTTTTTTTTCTGCAGTCTTATTCATCCAAGACCTTCCAAGAGATCTTACACAACCCGCAAAAAAGGCAAAAATAGACAAACACAAGGGTCAGCTCACTTGCCCAAGAGCGCAGCCTCACTTTCAGATAAGATTAGCGCCAAAATTTCAAGATGGCGCCGGTAACACTGAACTTCATAAACAGTCCCGATCTTTCGAAGAAACTGACAGAAGTGAAATTGAAAGGAAATCGACTTGCTCAATAATAGAGTTACTTCTCTCAGAAGCTTTACCTGGATACGATTTGTTGAAAATGACGATTGTTTTAATTCGTTCAAGTGGCATTTGAACTAGAAGAGAAGTGAACGCTGGGATATACCATTTACCACCAGTTCAAAACGTGAAGGTTAGTATATAGTGACGTTTAACTGCTTCATTATGTTTCTATAGCTATTTACTGGGAAATTCAATGTTTCTGATGTTTAGCTATTTGCTAAGGATTTAAAATTAGCTGCAAAATTAAATACCTAGCCTGTTGCATTTGTATTGAATTGCATACAGTCAAACCTGTATATAAACTGCCCTGCTGTTTACAGTGATCACCCTGTGTATTACGGTCACTGGACCTTACATTTTCTCCGCATTTTCTGTGAAGTTTACCTTTGTAATGGCAGCCTGGGGGAAGGGAGGGGCATGGTACTCCAATGTATGACTTTATTCTACATTATACTCCCTATACGTCTTGTCATTGGCTAATAGCCTACAGCTAAATTTTGAAATCAGTGCAACCTATAGACTAGTTAATTATTTGCTAGCAGAAAAGTAACTAATCTGTAACTTGCACGGGCAGTGCATGATTTCCAATAACAATATCAATATTTCAGGTTCCATGCAACAGTGTGTAATAAAACAGTAAATTATAATGAAATATTATCTAGTAATTGTTATTAGATTTGGTTTTTGTGATATCCTCAATAAGTCAATGTCTAGGTAAGTGTTATCAGCCTTGGCCTTCGGCTCAGCTGATAACTCTGTCATCCCTAGACCTTGATCATTCCGGCCAGATAGCATGACAACTGCATGATAACTGTTCATGGTTTCTGCTCACTACTAAATGTAAATGTAGATAATATATAATGTACCTCCCAACAAGGTACCGTAAAATTCTGAAAATAAGCCCCTGGGCTTATATTTTTCAAAGGCCCGTTTTGAGGGGCCTATTTTTGGACGGGCCCATATTTGGAGGGGCTTATGTACGGAGGGAAATTTAGGTTTCAAAATCGATTGGGCTAGGCTTATAGTTGGAGGGAAATTTACCATTTTTGCTTTGTTTTACTTTGTCTTCGGGGGCAAATTCCAAGTACAAGCACCCCGGGGGGCTTATATTTGGAGGGGCGATTAAACGGAAGGATTTTTGCGTTACGATTTTGGGGGGCTTATATTTAGAGGGGCTTATACATGGAGGGGCTTATTTTCGGAATTTTACGGTTTGTTTTTTAGGGTCTCGTACCTAAATAGGGTCATTTTTGCCTTTGTTGACATTGCATTTCTGGTGTGACCCTTAGATAGGGTGCCTAAAGAAGATTTAAGTCCATAAGTGCCTGGCTACACAAGAGACAAATCATCTGTTAAAATTTAGTGATTTAATCAAGGTTTGTTTGTCTCACCATTAAATTTTTAGTTTTTGTTTTTTCCTCTGAAATGGATGCCATTAATTTTTTTCTGGTTTAGGCCTTTTTAGGGAGTCATTTTTCATTTGTCCCACCTATCCAAAATTTATGGGAGTACCACCTGGTTTACCTGTACATGTATTGGATGAACACAGTCACCATTTGGACTTCCCAACTGCATTTTCAATATTTTTTACCAACCAAGACTCAGGCAAGATTGGGATCATGAGAGCCTTTTTCGCAAAAAGAAAATGATCATTCAATATAGATACAACATGAAAATGACACACGTAATAAAGCTATTACACACACATACAAAGAAAAAAAAAACAATTAAATAATACTACTGGAAGGGCAGGAAATTTGTAATTATCGTGTTTATCCCAATTAATATAAATCAATATTTTGCCGACACACACCAAAAAAAGCATAGGGCTAGTGCAGTGCGTGAAGGCCCATGGTCAGGTAGTTTCAAAAGTGTGCGTTGAGAAGTTTGTGATATTCTACTGTCAGCCTCCCTTGGCAACACATTATGTTGTTTA